GCGGAAGAAAGGTTAGATCGTAAAATCAAGTTCCTGGCCAAGACCACTTTTGACCGACACTTGTTATTGGAGGGCGATCTGGCGGGGAAGAAAATGAAGGAAGCCAGCCATGGCGTACGTCTAGAGGCTATGGAGATGGAAATTCAGGAACTTAGGGCTTTGGCGGCCAGCCAGGCAGCTATCATTGAGAGCCTGAGGCAGCAAACCCAGGGAAAGGTGGACAGACCAGAGAGCAGCCGGCAGGGAGAGCAGAGGCAGCCAGGACAGGGATTGCCAGGACAGTCATCTGCGACAGAGCCTCGCCAGGAGCCACCTATGGGGAGGGTTATCCTCGAGTCAGAGGAGGCGAGAGCACAGAGACAGGCGGAGAGAGAGGCGTTCGAGTTCAGAGCCCCTACCGAGCTCGCGACACCGCCAGTAGCAGCGGCGGGCCCAGTCGTACCTTTGGCAGTAGAGGAGGGGTTGCCACCATCTAGCAGTGAGCCGGCTCAGGGCTCAGTAGAGGAATTCATGTGCGTGCTCCTTGAGGCGGTGCATACTATGAAGGAGGAGGTGAGTTTGTTTTCACCTGAGCAGAGGATAGAGGAGCCTCTTAAGAGAGAGATGGGGATTGAGGAGGAGGGTGTCATCGAGGGCAGACTCCAGAGGATAGGCACAACTGAGTATGGACCAGAGGAGATTGAGGAGCAGCCCACGGCAGTGCCAGGAGCGACACTCGAGAGGAGGCCTCAAAGGTTGGACACTCCTGACTACGTCCCAGCGATAGAGGATTTGAGAGGCAGACTAGGATCTTGGGCTACTGGATCTGAGTCTGGTGGACCGGTTCCGGGGACAGAGCAGCAGGAAGTCGTTAGTACCGCAACTCCTCGATCAGAGCAGCAGGGGGGTGTCGGTACCTTGGTGGGATCTCCTTCATCGCCACCTCCTCAGCCCAGGAAGAAGAAGTTCAAGAGAAAGGTAGATCAGCTATGTTTTTACTGCAAGAGTGACGTGCATCTGGCTTTGGACTGTCTCGAGTTTCTTGAGGATAAGGCAGCAGGGAAGATCTCAGAGGTAGGGGGTAAAATGTATGATAGACAGGGTAGGATAGTAGAGAAGTCTGCAGATGGACTTAGGGCTCAGTTATATAGGCAAAACCAGGAGGAGTTGAGGAAGTAGGACTGGTTTTGTCTATATAAGTGAGCGAGCATTTTGTGAGGCATCAACTTAGGTTCTGTGTGATACCCTCTTAGACTTAGAAGACATTTTGATGATTGTTGTTAATCTAGATCTGAACTCTAGTGTTTCTACTGAGTTGGGGTTTTGAGGGTCGGGGTGGTTTAGATGAGGCATGTACATATTTAGGTGGCCTACGCCCTGGCCTTTGAGAGACAGATCTGATATGTATTCTAGGGGTAGTTGTCAGTGTGGGTTTGGTATGGCTTGAGTTGAGCAAGCTATGATTTGGAGACACTTTCTGTGTGAGACATTATACTCCTTGAGTATATATTATGATGAGGTTTCCTTCAGGGACCATTCTTATATGTGACGATCACTTGTCTCTCTCACATGTGTGGTTGTACTCTGATGTATGATGAGTTTGTGTGGACAATGTGTGAAAAACATTTTATGTATCTTGGGTATTGTGAATATGATTGTAAGTAAAACTGTCTACTCCTCGGTATACTTGTGCGACCTGCCCACGGTAGCTCATAAGGCAGAGTATAAGGGGAGGAAGCGCAGTCCGTCTGTGAAAGTTATCTAAGTTGTGATGAGGACCCATAAGATGGTCTCTCAGTGATGTTCCGTTTTATGATGGGACCCTCTTAGATTTTGGAAAAGGGGGGGATGTTTTATGATGTTTTGTGATGTAACGAAACCCCTCGTGACTTTGAGAGAGGGGGTGCTTTGGTTTATGATGAGACCCTCATGATTTCTGGAAGAGGGAATGTATTGTTTTATGGCGAGACCCCTCGCGATTTTT